AGATTGGAAAACAATAACAACTTTATTATATAGTAAAGTACAACAGATATGAAATTTAAAAAGACAATATGACAATTACAAATAGACTTAGAATTAGTTGTCAGGTAATTTAGATTGATAACATCACAAATGAAAATTCAAGAAAAGTGTTTATAAAAAGGATCTTTCTCCCAATGTAGATCAATACACAAAAAAACTACTTAAGTTAACTAGTTACATTTTTAGGAGCGCCGCAATCATCATCGCCCAGGGGGTAGCGTCACCAACACTCAGAGTTTGCCAACTGTTATTCTTTTTAAGGGTAGATAGACTTTATCCCTTCGCGTTCCGGAATCGACTGACTGCGATCAGACTATCGATCCCCGTTCACGCGCTAAACTTTTTTGATGTATCAGTGATTATTTGTACATAGTTTAACATGGGTCATTCACTGTTTCTAGAAGTTTCTCTGGTTTAGCTGATTTAATGAAAAAATCCGACGAAGTCCTTATCGATGACTTCGCGAAGTACAATAATTTTCCCAATGACCAGAGCTATCGAACTGGCGTCAAATTCTGCTTGTAAATAGGTAATTGTTTTCACTTACTGCTTCGTTGCTGTGTAACGCCAAATACGCTTATTTTGCAAGTAAATGAACTCGATATCCGTTTTATGAATTTGAAAAGAATACCAACGTTATACTTATGAAATATTAATTGATTTTGAAATGTTTTGAAGTCTAAAATGGTTTTTTGAATATCCTTAAAACTTCACTGCGTGACAATATGTATATGTGTCTAACTAGCCCTTCATGCTAGAAAAGGTGTCCTACCAACCTATTTCGCCTATTCCTTTCTGACTTCCATAGCGTCCTTTGTTCTTCTTTCTTTTTTCATACCTCCTCACTATTAACCTTCTCTATCCACGGTATCTTCATCATTCGTCTGTAACACCACATTTCGAACGCTTCTAACCTTACATTTCCGTCACCCCTGCCATACATGTTTCGTATAGATATACACCATTAACAATCTCTTTCGAATTTCTAAATTAACCGTTCAAGAGCACAGAAGTGCCTCCTTTTTGTGAAACCCTTTTCATCCAGAATTAATTAACTTCCTAGAAACCGAACAGCAGCGACTTCTTCTAAATTTTTGTCTCCTACCTTTATATTCGCTCTTTTCCTACTTTTTCTTTGTTTGCAGGCCAATATTTTTGTTTTACTTTTATTTATTTCCGTACTATATTGGTTTATTATTACCGATTTCATTATATTTATCTTTAACTCCTCTTTGTCAGATGTTAATACTGCTATATCATTTGCCAATCTAAGCATACTAATCTTTTGTCCCTGTATATCTATCTTTAAAGTTGTCCTGTTTTTAATTATGTTTATCGCGTCTTCGAAAATAAAAAGTAGCGGTTACAGTGTGCATCCTTGTCTGATTCCCTTTCTACTTCTCTACATTTCTGTTCAAGTTTTATTACTGTATGTTACTCTTTTTACAAATTATCTTCCGCCATGGAAGTTAAGCTAATTGTTCTACGTTTTTCGCATTTATATGCGACTCTTTTTTGGTGTGGCTACTACCATATTCCTTTGATAGTCCTCCGGAGTTTTCCCCTTCATGTGTATTGGCTAACTAGTTGGCGTATTGTAGCTCACCTGTCTCTACACTATCTTCCTTTTCCTATACATCGGAGTTGGCCAACAAGTCCGATCGCGAGGCCAAGTTTGATCGATTGTCAATTTTAATTATGCACTCATGCCTAGCTGGAATGGACCATATATTGAAATGCAGTGTATAAACATAGTATCCACTTCACACCCCTCCATCCCCCTTAGACGGCGCCTATGACAACAAGCTAATCGCGATCCACTTTTAAAGATTATCTGTGGAATATTCCTGCCCCAGCATTTGCCTAAGTGATTCAAAGAAACCACAGAAAACATGGACCAAGGCAGGGCGCACCCGGAATCGAACTGGCATCCTCCCGAATGCTAAGCAATGGTCTAAATCTCAACGCCACGCCGCTCGGTCACTTTTAAGATTTTTTTTTGTTTTCGTGGAAGAGGGGAAATCTTCAAAAGACACCCAGCCATCCGTACGACTGGGTAGTGTCGCATTCCCGAGGAAGATGTCCTCGGACCTACTGACTAAAACCCCTCCACCTCAGCCGTTATAGGACCTGTCAATTTAGGTCCCCTTCAGCCACACTTTTAAGATGAAAAGTTGATTTTATATATAGAAAAGTTGGCCACCCCTGCTATACCACTTCTAACTCTTGACGTGCGTATAGATTATTTCCACCTATCCTTCTTCTTTACACCTCATATCAATCTCCTGCACCTTAGCTGCTTTAAGACACTTTCTACATATTTCCCACTTTATCATCTTATATCTTTTTTGACCTTCTTCGTGTATTTCCCCCCTATTTCTAGTAATCTTGCAATCTCGTTGACTCCCTCAGGGGGTGACAACAGCGACATTTTTTCCTCATTGATTTGAGGTGATCTCATTCATTCACTAATACATTGAATTAACCCTACACAAAAATTCAAAGCGTCTGACTGCATATAATATGATACTGGCTTTTTTCGTTCTCGCTTTTAGTTTCCGTGAAAATTGACAACTTTTCTGTCGACATGACGCGACGCTGTGCGACGCGACGAATTGGAACGCAAATTACTCGTGTAATCATAATTAGTTTACGACGTTAGAGCTCTCGAATATCGCACTTCAAAAGTGCCTGATCGTCAAAGGTTAAATTACAAGGGCTGCCGCTTCCTTCCCTACAATCGAATCGCGTTATTTCTCTACCTCTCTCTCGTTGTAAGGTTGCTAGGGTAGCGAAGTGATTTTATAGGAAACCTTTTTGTACGAAATAAAAATAGTAATGCGAGAAAAGGCAATTATTGGCATAGGTACCTAAAGATGATTAATAAAGAGGAGTAAGCGAATAAAATCGGTATTGTTTATTTCTAGTTTCGATTTCTTCACCAAAAATTGTAATCCCAATAAAATCATGTCGGTAACATACACTAGGTTTCCGGAAAAATTAGAGGAAACGAAGGTATTTGAAAAGGAAGTGGATTGCGCCATCTTGCACCACTCAGTGATATACTTAAACAAGACGGTCATGACCTTAGCAAAAGCCCTAACTATCTGAAAATGCGGAGAAAACGAATAATGCCATTTTTTTTTAAGACGAGAACATTTTGCTTCCTTCTAATTAAATGTATTGTAGCGAACACGAGCGCGTTTGTGTGCGATGGGACACACGTGTGCGTGACAGGCTTATCGATTCGCCGACGTTCCGCGGATGCCTTTCTTCATGTGCGCCGTATTTGTAAATGCGTGTGTTGTACCTGCGTTCTGGGAAAGCAGTTAAACAGTTCAAAGAAAAAATAAACTATCCGGATGCTTCCAGAAGGTTCTCGAAGGTAAACAAAAGAGTATTTAAAGGAAGAGACGATCGCCGAGAAGAGAAGAAATAAATTGACCGTTGCAACAGTGAATCGAGAAATAAATTGACAGAGATAGCAGTGAAATAAATAGCGCAGTGAATAGTGACATATCAACATTAGTGTAAATAAATAGTTTTTGTCGTTATCAGCCTTAGAAGTAATTTTGTTAAACCCACGAACATTACAGTATTTTATGCATAAATACATTTTAAGTAAGTTTTAAGTTTTAGCAGCAGCTCATTTAGCAACCTAAAGGAGATTCGGAACGAGGAGAAACTGAAAGAATCTTGACAGAGTTGTACAGTATGTGTAGAATTTAAAGGTGGCACTAATACCAACAATTTTTTTTATATTCTGATGATTTATCGTCTGTCATCTTTATTGTGTCAGTAAAGCAGTCATAATTGTTTTATTTACAAAAAAAAATTAACACTTCTATTTAATTAAAATGAAAAGTAGTTTTTAAAGGTAAAATTTCATAGCCTGGCACTAGGTGAGTAAAATTCGGATAAACTAAGCCCTCTGTCGGAAAAATCCAGTAATTGAGAATAATTATACTGGTATTGAGACATTGAGCTAAGTTCTGGCAGCACTGAAACATACTCTTTTATTTTAAATATTGAGATTACCTCACGGAATACATGATATTTATAGTCTTAACAATATACAAAATACACAAATTACGCTATTATTATTCCGCTGCTCTATATCTTATTTTCTTTACCTTTCTTCACATACCTTCACCTTCTGCCTCCTGTGTTTCTTCCTTTCCTTTTTTATATAACATTTCTCATCGATTCCGCCTGTCTCTGTGTTTCGTTAGATCTTTCATTGTTGTATCTGCTCTGGTGTCTTCACATTGTATCATTACATGG